GGGGGAGGGGCTCTGCTCTATGGATGGATGACTCAGAGGGCTCTGATTTAGGAATAGCCATGGGGACTCTAGGGCTGAAGAAGGTCAGGCACCTCCCAAGGCAAGGGCAGCTGTCACCCTTGCTTTGTACTGGCCTGCACCACAGCTCTCCTCCAGGCTGTGCATGCCTTGATTACAGGCAGGACCATATAAGGCAGGCTGGCTCTCTGAGCTCCTGTGCCCTCCTCTGCAACCCAGGTCTCGTGAGGCTAGAAGAAAAGTCCTCGTCTGCCCAGAGAACCTGGGGAATCCTCCCAGGTCTCTTTTTGCGCCTCCCCTCCCCAGTGTCAGTGTGGACATCACAGATTCTGGTCAGTTGTACGTGGCCAGAACACTCTGCATCTCTTCCTGCATGCCGACACATGGATTCAAAATCATCTTTGCAGAGGGTCCTTCCTCACAAGGCAGTGAGCACCAGTGCATGGAACCCAGAGCACTGCCCTTGCAGAAGCCCGGGGCACTGCCAAGAGCAGCCCAAGCCATGCTTGCTGCTCTTGTCCTGGGAGAGCCAGCACTGAGCCAAGTCTCCTGAGATGCAGAGAGGGAAAGCTGACCTCAGGGAAGTGACTTTGAGGAGGGCCATGAGCGGTAGTTCATGTGCTCTAGTGCCCAGCCGAATCCCTGGAGGGCCAGCTCAAGTGGTGTTCGTGGCCCAACCCTAGCCCAGCCCACCCCAGTGCTTCTGAATCAGGAAGGCTAACCCCTGAGCTGCAGAATCACATCCTAAGAGCGCCCCAGGAATGTCCTTGCCGAGAAGTTGGATCCTCACTTTGAGAACCTTGGAGCCGGAGGGATTAATTCTTCCTCCACTGGCCCTGCAGAGCCTGGTCAGCCATCATCTCCGAGGACGCTGGGGAAGCATTACATAGTGAGAGTAAAGCTTCCTGTTGAGTAAAGAGAACAACAAGGAAATCCACAGAGACTAGCGTTTGAAAAGGAAAATTCTTCTTTTTCAGGGTGGTTTGGTATTCGCAAAGATTTCTGCCAGTTTCTGCTTGAAGTCTTCCCGTTTTTGAGAGAGTATGGAAACATCTCCTATGATCTCCACCATGAAGACAACGAAGAAACTGATGAAATCCCAGCTCCAGAGCCTCCTAAAATCGCCCCTATGTTTCGCAAGAAGGCCAGGGTGGTTATTACACAGAGCCCTGGAAAATACGTCCTGCCCCCTCCCAAGTTAAATATCGAAATGCCAGACTAAAGGACGCTGGCAGGGCCAGAGCATGAGTGGACTGGGACGCACGCTCTCTCCCTCCCTCTGCCTCTCCTTCACCCTCCTTCCCCGAGACCCCGAGTGGAGCTGGGCCTCTAGGGATGTCCATCTCATGCCTCGTTTGCATTCAGTGCCAATCAGCTGCTCACCACGTCGGGACACAGAGGTGGCGGGGGGTTGGGGGTGTCTGTGGATATGATGCCAGGGGCCGTGAAGGAGAGAGAAGAACCCAATTCCGTGAGAGCGGGTGTCTAAGGCATCTTCTCTCGCCCATGGTACCACCTGGGAATGGCTGCTCCTGAGACCTGCAGGGGGAGATTCTGTCTACAGGACAGCTTCACAGGGCTGAAATTCCTGTGGCGAGTGTTGGTGGAAGTGGCTTCCTACAGGGCCGCCTCCCTGGACAGCTCTGAGCTGTCCCGCTGCAGGTCGGCAGTGGGGACTGTAACTGGGTCTGAGTGTACCTGGTGTTTCCGCACAGCCCCGCCGCCATGCTTAGCCCTGTCCCTGCAGTGGAGGGCTTTCCCTTTGGGCGTGCCGACAGTGGTTTCCACGGCCTCCTCCGTGAGCCCTTCCCAGTGGAGTGACTCCATGCCTGTATAGTATTTATACGACTATTTTAGCATTGTAATATACAGTGTCAAATCCTAGTTCTGTACAGCATACTCTGTTAAAGTATTTTTTTACGAGCTTGTGCCCGAGACGGACGTGTTCTGCTGCAGAAGGTGAAGTCGGTGCCAGCCCCGCCCCACCTCAGAGTTGTGCCGGGCCTTCACAGGACATCACCGCTTACACCTGGAATTCTGTCACGTGCGTAGCCCTGCTCCTGCCAGCAGAGCCACAGCAAGCAGAAAATGACCTGTGTGTTTCCTCACGTTGGGGAAATCAGGCTGGGAATAACCTAGAGAGCAGTGCTCGGGCCAGGACACGAGGGAAGGTTGCCAGGAGCAGACACATTCACAGATTCCCATGGGGGTT